GAGAAAGTATACACTACATTATGAATTCAACTTAACTTAGGTGAGTTAGGCACTATTGGTATTGATTTTTATTGCAATATTTAAAAATTCAAATCAGTTCATTTTAATCTAGCCAATACCATTCTCCATATACCAGTTATTTCAATCCCCTGTCCCAAATCTTCTATTTCTTTACAAAGGTGCCAAACAGCTCTCTAAGATCTAACAATGGCGCATAAAAATGGCTTATAGTGCCAGTTTGTAATTAACTTCAGGCATAATTCATGATTATCTTTCTCCCTCATTTCAGTATAATGTTTATATAAATTTATTTATTTGAAATATTTCTACCCCATCCTATTCAAAAATCATCCCAGGATGGCTTACAAGAATTATAACAATGAATAAACAAAGCAATAAATAATAATAATTAACAACATACATAATACCAACAAAAACAAAATGTGACTGTATTAAAAACCAGTTAAAATTCCTAATCCTTAAAATAGTGGGTAAATAAAAAGGTTTTAACCTGGTGCCAAAAGGAATATAAAGTTGGCACCAGGCAGATTTCTCTGGGGAGCGCATTCCACAGTTTGGGCACCACCATAGAGAAGGCCCTCCTCCAGGTAGACACCCTCTTTACCTCCTTCAGGGAGGGTTCCCAGAGCAGAGTCTCTCCTACAGATCTTAGGGGGCGTGAGGGCGTAAAGGAAGGAGAGGTTCCTTCAGATATCCTGGTCCCAAGCCATTTAGGGCTTTATAGGTTAACACCAGCACCTTAAATCGGGTCTGGACTTCAATCGGCAGCCAGTGTAGCTGATAGAGGACCAGCGTTATATGCAAATGTTACTGTACTATGTTGTGCTTGGAAGCCCTGGATCTTGAAAAACTCCCTATCAATAGACACAGCCATCTTTTCATGTATTAGATTACCTTGACTGTTGACCAGTTTTCTTCCTACATCAGCCCTCCCCAACTTGGTGCTTTCTGGATATGTCAGACTACAATTTTCAGCCTTTCCCAGTCAAGCTATGCTGCCCTATATACTTTTGATCAGAAACGGGGCATGTTTCTTGCTTTAACCCATAACTTAGAGTTATGATCCTAACTCATCAATGGGTTATTCTCATTGGGTAGGGAGACAGGGAGCAGCAGAGGAGTAAGGCTACTTCTCTTTCCCCATAACTTCCCCAAAGCTACACCACTAGTTTACTGCCTGGAACTAGTAGCCCTCCATTATAGGTTGCCAGTAGGCACCACCCTTGACAATAATGAGTGCCATGTGTCCCACTGTACCAGCCAGAAAGTGCTTGAAGGTCTTGGTTGGTGGTGACTGAATGCAACTCTGCATACCACATCCCACTGACATCAACTAGCTTTGGGGCCTTGGTGTAAGCTACCCCTTAAACAGGCAGCAGTAGTGAGGCACCCATTGGGCCACTCTCAGTCCCAACTATTTTGGGAAGTCTTGATCATTGCTGCTTCTGCTGCTGCTTCACTCACATCATTGCAAAATGCAGTGAAAGCAGTGAAAGGTGTGATAAGTTTCTTGTACAGTCCCAATCAAAGCAGTGTGAAAGTAAGATAGGAGAGAGAGAGAGACTGAGAGAGAGAATTTATGGCAAAATTATTATTTCCTAAATGGAAGCTAGATGGAGGTCTCACAATGATCCAGAGCAGATCTTCAGGAGGGACCCAAAATTGCTTCTTCTCCTTCCACAGGCAGGAGTGCCCTATGATGTGTGGATTTCAAATTAAGAGAAATCTTAAATTAACTTTGAAACCGCAGAACCTACTAAGTACTTGAAACACACTGAGACATGTGCTGGCCTTGTGCAGAACACCCCAGTGAGGATACTGGCCTTAAATAATCCATTTTCCTTGGGTAAGGAAAATGCACCTCTCCAGTGCCATCCAGGAAAGCCCATATATGTTCTTGACACCCATGGAATACATTCAAGGGCATGTTTCTTGTCTTGAGAAGCACAAACAATTTGAAAGCCTTTTTCTTTGCAATGCAGAAAAACCTTCAAACAATGTTAACGTGGCACGATAATCATACTGACAATGGTTTGTAAGAGTTTGCCAAAGTTTTTGTGTAATATAAACTAGGAATCCATATTGCTCATGTAACCCTTTGCCAGGATCCTTTTGTCTTTCAAGTGTCAACTCACATTCTGAACAAAATCACATTGCAATAAACTTGTGTTAATTGATACATTATGGACTTGGAGGGTTTTCTTTTTCCATTTGCTTGCTGAGGAGTTCTCCACTTTCCTCCTACCTAGAGAAAGAATGCAAAATACATGTTCTCAATGATTTGAGGCTGAGTGGAACATCTTTTTTTAATTGCTTGTTTACTCTTACAAGTAAAATAAAAGAGAAGACTACAAATGCTCCAGATTCCCAGGTGATGAAGCCTTACTATAAGTCTTGTAACTAAAAAAATTAGGGCCCACGGGGAATGGTAAGTTAACACAAAGCACAGCCAAGATCCATATCTTTGCCTGACATTTTCTGGGGGTAATTGGGCAATTTAGAGGAGGGCATATGGGAGACAGCTCCCTTTATTGGAGCCTATGTCACAATGTATGAAACTAAAGCGCCTTTTAGAGCTGTCTAACGCTCCTTTTCATTAGCAGGACCCAGTGAAGGCTCGGACAAAGGTGGCAGGGACACAGTGCGTGCCTAAGTCTTCTCTGCTATGTCTCATGCAGCTCCAGAGCATCCCCATCCTCAAGAGTGGTTTTATTTTGGAGTCACAGGGCAATACAGGGGGAGGAAGGAGGGCCTGCGATGGGTTGCCTTCCCATCCTCTCTCTCCAGCATGAACAGAACCTGGCTTAATGCTATTCAGGTTCCAGTCTTAGGATACAAGCCAACGAACACAAGTGTCTAACAGGGCGAAATGTCATTTCTGATATTTCCTGTAGACACAGAGCTAGTCCAATCAGGAATACATATGTTGCAATTAGGAATGTTGGATAAATCCAGAAGATTCAAACATATTCAGAGTCCTCTGAATCCAGGTTAGGAATCAGACTTATGCTGCTGTGTTAGCTGCAAAGTTTCAGTAAGGACCTGCACTGTAAAGTATTGCCTTGCATTTTGGCGTCCAAGGGGGAAAAGGGAAAGGGTGTAGTGCCTCAAAAATACAGTGGGGAAGGGTACACTTTAAGCAGAACCCTGTAGACATTCTTCTTTAAGTTTTAAAGGGAGAGACAGTTGTTGTTGCTTTTTTATTTTATTATTTTACAAATAGGACACACACAAGCCATCTGGGAGATACCTCTGGTGTCAGCAGGCTGGGAATCAAGCTGCCAACTGTTCTGTTGAAGAAGAAGTTTTTCCCCAATTTGTTTTTTGTTTTTGTTAATGCTGCCTCAGCAGGATCGAGAACAAGCAGTGTGAAAATAAGAGCAGTGCATGCTTCCCTTGACTGCTCTGGAACAGGGGCAGGCAGAAGACAGATCTCCAGCTTTCACCTCACAGAACTCTGAAACTAACCTTGAAACAGCAGGAACAAAGTGCTATTTGATTTAGCTCCACCTCTCCCACTCCTTGATTTGGCACCACCTCTCCCACTCCTTGATTTGGCACCACCTCTCCCACTGGTGGCCACAGTGATGAGTTACTCATGTCCATGAGCCATCGCTTACCAGTCCCTTTCTGCTTTTCAGTGGAAGCCCAGTCACACAGCCTAGGGAGGGACCCTGATGTGGAGCAAGCAAGCAGCCAGAGAAGAGCATAGCCTAACCTTAACCCGAAGCTGAAGGCCACAGCGGGTTGCCTGACTCTTCCACTAAGAATCCTCTCGGATGTGGGGATATGTAGTAAGCCCACCAATTGGGACCAAAAGCAGATGGGACAAATTCTTAGGGGAGAAGGCCATCAGTGGTTACAAGTCGTGGAAGCGATAGGCTACCTCCACTCTTGGAGGCAATATGTCTGTGTGTACCCATTGCTGGGGAACTTGGGTGGGTGCGTGTGGGTGCTGTTGCCTCCTATCCTGCTTATGGGATCCTGTTGGCAGTTCCATGAACAGAATGCTGGACTGCCTGGACCCTTGCTCTGATCTAGCTCTTCTTATGTTTTATGAGCAACTTTCAGAAGGCAAGACCCTAGTTAATGCCCTGAAGATCCCGACAAACTAGAACCAATCTTAATGGGATAAGTCCAGGGTATACTTTTACTTTGATTTCTTGTTCCTTTCGGTGGTTTATGGGCCTGCATGGGACAGCTGGTGCCCAGGAATTACTACAGGAGAGAAAGAAAGTTGAAAGAAGTGTAGCTCACCAGTTAGGATTTTCTTGTGACAGCAAACTACAGCTCTAATTTTCATTTGCCTGTCCTGGTCTCCTAACAGATTGTATTGCTCTCCATCCCTTTCCCTCTCCATTGTCCTGTTATTATTCTTCCCCCTTAAAACGATTAATACCTTTCAAGAAATGGACTTGTGTGCTGATTCAACTATTCTGAGCACTAATATATGGAGTCCACAGTACTGAGAACAACTGCTTGATTGCCACAAGCTGATGGACCCTGATGTACAACTGCAGTTATCTCAGGCGTCCACTGCTTGTGGGGCCTAATACCTGTCATGCTACAGCTTTTATACGAAGGTGCTGGGTGAAATCAATTGTTCAAGGGGTTAAAGGAACTGCAGTTTTAGATTAATCTTGCCTGTTAACAATGCTAGTCATGCTAGAAGACCAACAGACAAAGCCTGCTTTGCAGCGTGTGGATGCAGTGGGGGTTGAAGAGTAGCAGTTGTGTACTTCTGGTGTCTTGCCACTCACAGGAAAAGTTTTTAACGTTTGGAAAGTTTAGAGAGGCCTGACAAAGGATTTTCAGAGGAAGACCAGAAAGGTCCCTGTTGAAGTGGAGAAGGCATACTGCTTTCCATTTGCATTCTGCATTTTAGGCCCAGTGCAGAGGCAGGGATGATAGCTGTGACTTAAAGATGGTTTCCAAGGAGCCAAACTTCCTGTGGGGTGGAGGTGGAGGTGGAGGTGGAGGGGGGTGTAACCCAGTGGCAGGGCACCTGCTTTGCATGCAGAAGGTCCCGGGTTCAATTCCCAGCATCTCCAGGTAGGAGTAGGAAAAAATCCTTCTCAGAACCCTGGAGAGTGGCTGCCAGTCAGTGCCAACAATACCGGGCTAGATGAACCAAGGGTCTGACTTGGTGTAACAGAACGTTCTATATTGCTTTGCAGCAGCCATGTTTAGTTCCAATGCAGGCAACTGCTTAGGAAAATCTGGCAAAGGCTGGAAGAGGGGATTTGCAGAAGGGAGAAGAGAATGAAGCTCATGAACTGAGAGTACCTTTTCAAGTCCTTAAACCACAGATGGGCAACCCATGGTCCTTGGCCATCTTCCACAAGGGCAGCAGAGCTTCTTCCCAGCTTCTCCTTCCCAATTGATGAAGGCTGGAAATAGCAGAGGGACACTGCATGTGACATGCTGTTCAGGCATTCCCAGCCCTACTCAGCAGAGCCAAGGGGGAGAAGCTGATTAGTTGCTTGAAACAACTGAAGGACATGCTGAGTGGCAGCAGAAGCAGGGAACACGAGGGAGTGGGGACAAATGAGATGGGACACTGGGGTAGCTGTGATCCCATCACCCTCGTCCCCAGACCTTGCTTCCGAGCTGATTAGCACCAGAGTCAACCAGTGCACGGCTGTGCAGTTCCCAGTGCTCCTCTGATGGGCAGTGGATGGCGAGAGAGGCATGTGACGGGATCTGAACGGGCCAGGAGTACCGCAATGGGGAGGAACAGATATGGTATTGGCTTGGGCATGTAGTCACAGGGAAGCAAGGATCAGATGGTGGAGGGGTGCCTGTGCGAGTGTGGCATATGCATGTGTGTGCATGCAAGAGAGAGAGAGAGAGAGATTGTGGGGGGGGGTCATACCACTCATTGCTGGCTCCTGTATGTGTGCCAAGGGGAACAAAGTTGCCCACCCTCGTCTTGGTCCAGAGATTGGCAGCACTGCCTCAGACTGAGCCTCTATGTAGAAAGCAAGATGCAGCACTCAATTTTGCCTCATGTTGTCTCATTTTCTCATTGTGCTAAATGATGCTTAAAAGTATCACCATATGATCTCATGGATGTGGGGGGGGGTTAGCGGGGGAGAAAATTCAGCTCATATCTGTCAGTGATGCCTACCAAGTATGCATTAGCTATAATTCGTTGTCTCTGGATGTGCACGTGCAATTATCTCTTAGAATTTTGTCTTATATTAAAACGATCATTGTCATCCCTGCTTCTTCTTTGGTTTGTGTAAGAGTAATGTTTATGTAAAAGTGGAAAAACTCTATCACATATGTAATACAGACATTTACACTGCTAATAAATTACATTTGACACATATTTAATTTCCTTTTTGTATATACTTAGGAAAGCCCTTTTGTACTCAGATTCTTTACACGTCTACAAATTCAACAAGTTGGGAAATATACACTGAATTTCTCTGTGTTGTTAAGGAATGTGTTTATTGGAGCTGTGCACAAATGGCCTTTTGAAATTCTCCACCCTATTTGTGGGCAGAGAAACTGGGAGGACAATTTGACTGACTGAATCTTTCCAGCAGGCAGAGAAAATCCCTGCTAGGGGTGAGATTCACCATTGGCAGTGGAAGAAGCACTGCTTCTTTCTTTCTTCTTCTTTCTTTTCTTTTTTTCATAAGTTCCTTCTGCTCCAAGTGGCAACAACAGAGATTGTGTTAGCTGGCCTGGCCTCCGTTTTGAATCCTCCCCAATGCTTCAGATCTAGTGTTATAATTGGGAGGGGGTGTGGAATGGCAGCCACTGCAAAAGAAAAAAAGTGTTGAAGCAAATTCTACAAGGTGGTGTCCTTTCTCCAGACAGGAGAGAAGAAAAAGAATATTCTCACAAATTCATCTGAAGATTTTCTGCTCCACTCTAGTTTAGCTGTACTTAATGCTATTAAAGATACAGAGAGTGCCAAACCGGAGTAGTTTTCTTTTTCTTACATCTGCTGAGTATTTGCTGTTGCTGTGCACTGAGTCGCACAAGTCTATGGTTGACATTGTCTCCGGTCATGATAAACGTGATCTCTGATGAGCGTTTTCTAGCTTGAACGTGGCACAAAATGTCTTTGCAGGAGTGCAACCTGGAATCTTCCAGCTTTTCTCTTGTAATATGGCAGCAAGGCCTTTGTACAGCAGACATGGAATCCTCCAGTGAAAATCTAATTTACTCTTAATTCACACTTTCCATTTTCTGAAGTCTGTGAAGGTCCAAGTAAAAATTTAGGATGAGAAGTTCTGGATCTTTGAAACAATTATTCTAATTAGAGACACAAATGAATTGTATTATTTTCAGGGGTATATCATTTACTGCACATCATGAGAAGGCAAGGTTCACCGAAAAACAACCATGCTAGGGAAAGGTAGAAGAAGACAAAGAAGGCCAACTATGAGACAGATTGACTCCATAAAGGGAGCCATGGCCTCTATTTACAGGAGGTGGGCAGCGGCTGTTAAGATCAGGCCATTCCGAAGGGCACTCATTCATAGGTTGAATTTTTTTTTTTTTTAGGTTGAAATTTTTTATTTAAATAAAAACATACTACAAAAGTTACAAAAAGGCACAAAATTGAAACAGTACAAAATTAGAAAAGTACCCCATCCAATATTTACATGGTTTCAAAATGCCAAATGTACACACATTTACAGGATTCCCAGGCTTTACAAATCAAATTTACAAAAAGAACATTCTATAGACTTCTCCTGAAAGTTTCATGCCACGTGTCTCAGCAACATGTATGAGTGGTTTACGTACATTACGTGATCGGGGCATGAGCCCCACTCAACCACGGCCACAATTTCCTCCACTGACTGGGCGGCATCCTCCCTTTTTCCTCGCGGCTCAACCAAAAAATCTTCTCTTGGACAAATTTGACTGAGCCGGCCACATCAGCCACCTTTTGTGTCTTTATCTCTCTGTGGCGTTGGAGGGACAGCGGCAACAGAACGTGCAGATTAATCAGCCTAATTGTGGACCACGGCACAGTCCAGTACATCTTGGGAGCCGTGGTCTCTCTCCACCGCCGCTTCCTGGGCACTCTCCTCCTGGGTCCCTTCAATGGAGGAGCGGGTTCTGTGCCAGACACGACCGATTTCCAGTCCTGGGAGCACTCATTCATAGGGCTGCCATAAGTCAGAGATGACTTGATGGGCATCTACAGCACGCGCACACACACACACACACACACACCTGAGATTGAGTGAGATAAAAAGACAACATGACATTATTATTTAGCATTGCAATTCAGTCTGCATTGACTTTAATGCTTAATATGCATGATGATGATGAACTGAATCTATGTTAGTATACATTTGACTGAAAATCCAAGTCTACTTAACAGGAATGGAGTAAAAAATTGTTTGGTCCCATTTTAACACAGAGTTAGACAGTTTTCTACTTTCAAACTAACACATGAACCAAAACACAGTTCTCATTCAAAATTTCTTCTTTGAATTTTGCAATGTTATTTTCCATCAAAATATGTATATAAATATGCCAATTTAGAAAAAGTGCACACAAAAGTGCATTTATTACTGAAAATAATGTTTAAAATGCTTAGGACATTTTAACCATTAGGAAATTATTTGCAGCCGATGTGTAGATTACGTGCCAAAATAAACATATTGGGAGAAATTGCACAAAAAGGCACATACCTTTTTATGCAAACTTTTCAAAAAAAAATCTCTCAATACCTGATGAACCAAACTTAAAATTGGAAAAATAAGAAACAGGGAAAGAACCATCCATTTGTTACATGATAGGGAAGTTTATGTTCTGTTTTTTCCTCTTCTAAAAATGTGAGCTCTTCTGTTTCTACCTGACAGTGCTGTTTTTAAACCAAGGTCATAAACCCTTTTGTTTATTGCAATGTTGATGCTTCCTATTTTCAGGTTTTATTTTAAAATTTATTCCTATTTTCCCAACCGGCAAAAAACGAAGATATACTTAGATTCTTGAGGGTGCAGAAGCTTGCAGCTTTCTTTCTGACACTAGATATATTTGTAATTATGCTTTTAATAAGATGAAGTCATTTATACTTTACTATTTCATAAATATACTAAGCAGTACAATTTTATGTGTTGAATTATTATATACAATACATTTCATGCTCTTGAAGTAGTAAAGTTAAGTTGAGGTTTGATAAGTACTGTGTATTTTTCAATTTGATCCCTCTATGCACACTTTTCTCTTCCCTGCTCTTACGGGAAAAACCCCCACCTGTGTATTTTCTTCTTCCATGGCCTCAGTATTGTGTGACCGAATGCACACATGCCCAACTACTAAACAAGTAGACATACAAAGAGTGAGAAAAGTCTGCACATTGCAGGATTACAGATCCAGACAGATACAAAGCTGTTTAATTGTGTGAGGCATGTAACATGTTTTACTCATATTCTACCAAAGTCTTCCTACGAAACACTCTACTTTTCCCATGGGCATGAATGGCAGTTCACTTACATAGGAAGAGATGAAGGATGGGATACTGTTAGCATGGTGGAGCAACCTTTCCCTGTCCCAGTGTCCCTGGCATTTTGAGAAGGAAGGTTTATCTCTCATGCTCCCTATTTCTGACTGGAGTCTGTTTATATTGCTCTGTTTAAGTGCATGGAACTATTCATGTATGAATGTAAGCAAAATTAATCTGGTCCCATTGTATTGTCTAGAGTGGAAGAAAAATCTGGTATGTTGGTTACTGTTGTTTCTTTATCCCATAGGAACTGCAGGAGCTGGAGTTTGCCTATATCCGCATATGAGCAAGAGGAAACTGAAATGAGTGTATCAGGGAAAAAATGGGAAAATGGAAATGGCTATTCCATGTAAAGACTGAGAAATGAGCAATTCAAGCATTTTGCAGCTAAGAAGCCTCTTTCTCTAGAAAAAAAGGTGGCATTCTGACCTTGTTGTATACTGAAAATACCTAAAATCACTGATAGTCCAGGTGTCCCTGAAAGATGGAAATATCTTCCCAGTCTAAAGGACAAACTCTGCGCATGACGCAGAAGCTGGTTAGAAGGCACATATAGGGAATTTTAGACAA